TTTTTCTTATTTTAAAGCACCACAAAAAAATTAAATGAAATCATCAAAGACAATATTTGCTATTAATACAATGTTGAAGATAAATTCGACAAAAAAATGTATGGACGAATGTTTTAAAATGAGCAAGGATTGATGATGACTTTAAATGAAATTAAAATGTAGTGCTATTAAGAAAATTTGTAGTGTAAATATAAATCTTGTTTGATTCTCATTCTTTGAAAAAAATACATTTTTAAAAAAATATTTTAATATTATTTCAATCATATTTTTAATAAAATAATATTATAAGCATATACAAAAAAATTATTTTTTACTCACATATTTTTTATCAATATATTATTCATAAATTTATTTTCATTAAAAAAATTGGGTTCAAACAAAGGCATAATTACTCAATAGGAAAAATGGAACAATGGGTAATTAGAACCCAAAAAGACAAAAAGTGGAGTGCACAAAGGAGAGTGGCAATAGTAACAAAAGCTGTGGATTTATTGAGTGCGGCCGGCAAAAAGTGTTATGGGAAATAAAAGGTAGGGACCACCTTAATTGGTGGCCCCATAGTGGTCGGATGGGACCCATTTCTGTTCCTTCTTTAGTTTACACATCTTTTCGCAGTAGAGAGGGGAAATGGGGCTCTGACATCGCCAACCCACACACACGTAATTATACGTATGGATCTTTGTATGTACAAATATATATTAGGATAAATTGCATCATGGGTCTAAAATCTTTCAAAAAAATTGCACGAAGCCCAAATCTTTCAATTTTGTGTTCAAAGTCCCAAAGTTTTAAATTGACTAGTCAGAGTTGAACACACATCATACGTTATTCTGAAATACTTTATATAAGTTGTAAAAGTAATATTTAATAACAATTTGTTATGAGAATTTGATGAGTCTCAAAGAAACTAAAGAAAATAAAATTTATAATGGAAATTTAAAAAAAAAAAATTGAAACTTTCAAAACTAAATTTCTATTATTCAATTTTATTGTTGATTATGAAATTTAAAAAAAAAAATGAACAACTTTTTTACACTACATTTGACATATAGAAATTAGGGATGTGCTTGATGTACATAAATTTATGTACATAAGGGTGTCCATATATTCACATGGGTGTGGGGCCCACTCAAGTGGCTCTCACATGGGTCCCACATCCATGTGAATACTTGGACACCCTTATATACATAAAATTATGTACAAGTAGATCTATTCTAAAAATTAATTGCTAATATGTAAATTTAAATATCCATTAAAATTTTTAAATACATGAATACAAATAAATTCCAATGTTATTAAAATCAACCCGATGCAATCACTTAACCAGTGAACTAATCCCGATTTTTCAGGTTTCTTATTTTAAAATTTTTTACCTCACTTATTGGGCCCATGCAATAAAGTGAAAGACCCTTTCATTAATGACAATTGCCTGCTAGTTTTAATCTTTTATAGAAGCACCTCCCTTCAAGTTATAGCAAAACTTTCGACATGGGATACATGTTATGCCCGAAAAAATTATTTTCCAAGTGCCTATATGTTTTAAATTTTTAATTTGATTTTGGGCCCAAAATTTTGACTTCAATATTTTTATCTATCCAATTTTCAAATTTAACTTAAAATAAAAAAAATCGCTTCATTAAAAATTAGCACAATAATTTTAGATATCATTTCCTATAAGCTCAAACGATTTCAATTTTAACAAAGTAAATTATTTCAATATATTGATTGTTGGTTCTTGAAGTGTCGATACTAATTGTATGGTAATAAATCTAATTAAAAATTAAAATTAATAGTTTGAATATTAAAATATTTATGTATACTCATTTAGATCTAAATTCATCAATTCAAGATTCATTAAGTCTAAATTAATGTGAATGATAATTAATTGAGAATTAATAACGCGAAATTCATAAATAAAAAAAACTTTGCAGTATTGAAAACGAAAAGTTATATATTATTGAAATAATTGAATTGTAGTAAAGTTAAAATCATTTAAAAAATGATTTTCACTTGATTTGATATTTATTGTATTCGTATGGATCTTTGTATGTACAAATATATATTAGGATAAATTGCATCATGGGTCTAAAATCTTTCAAAAAAATTGCACGAAGCCCAAATCTTTCAATTTTGTGTTCAAAGTCCCAAAGTTTTAAATTGACTAGTCAGAGTTGAACACACATCATACGTTATTCTGAAATACTTTATATAAGTTGTAAAAGTAATATTTAATAACAATTTGTTATGAGAATTTGATGAGTCTCAAAGAAACTAAAGAAAATAAAATTTATAATGGAAATTTAAAAAAAAAAAATTGAAACTTTCAAAACTAAATTTCTATTATTCAATTTTATTGTTGATTATGAAATTTAAAAAAAAAAATGAACAACTTTTTTACACTACATTTGACATATAGAAATTAGGGATGTGCTTGATGTACATAAATTTATGTACATAAGGGTGTCCATATATTCACATGGGTGTGGGGCCCACTCAAGTGGCTCTCACATGGGTCCCACATCCATGTGAATACTTGGACACCCTTATATACATAAAATTATGTACAAGTAGATCTATTCTAAAAATTAATTGCTAATATGTAAATTTAAATATCCATTAAAATTTTTAAATACATGAATACAAATAAATTCCAATGTTATTAAAATCAACCCGATGCAATCACTTAACCAGTGAACTAATCCCGATTTTTCAGGTTTCTTATTTTAAAATTTTTTACCTTACTTATTGGGCCCATGCAATAAAGTGAAAGACCCTTTCATTAATGACAATTGCCTGCTAGTTTTAATCTTTTATAGAAGCACCTCCCTTCAAGTTATAGCAAAACTTTCGACATGGGATACATGTTATGCCCAAAAAAATTATTTTCCAAGTGCCTATATGTTTTAAATTTTTAATTTGATTTTGGGCCCAAAATTTTGACTTCAATATTTTTATCTATCCAATTTTCAAATTTAACTTAAAATAAAAAAAATCGCTTCATTAAAAATTAGCACAATAATTTTAGATATCATTTCCTATAAGCTCAAACGATTTCAATTTTAACAAAGTAAATTATTTCAATATATTGATTGTTGGTTCTTGAAGTGTCGATACTAATTGTATGGTAATAAATCTAATTAAAAATTAAAATTAATAGTTTGAATATTAAAATATTTATGTATACTCATTTAGATCTAAATTCATCAATTCAAGATTCATTAAGTCTAAATTAATGTGAATGATAATTAATTGAGAATTAATAACGCGAAATTCATAAATAAAAAAAACTTTGCAGTATTGAAAACGAAAAGTTATATATTATTGAAATAATTGAATTGTAGTAAGGTTAAAATCATTTAAAAAATGATTTTCACTTGATTTGATATTTATTGTATTATAGATATAGATATACAATCTGAGGTCTCTTAAAAGTATCAATCCAAATGTCTGTCGATTGACCGAGATGTCATCCATTGACCAATTTAAAGAAGCACAAAAAAGTCTCCTCATAATATCCCTTTTCTTAACTCCCAACTATCAGCTAATCTTTGCCCACTACAATCGTTGACGCCACCACAATTACCTTCCACGCCCCATTCCAATCCCCAGAGTCTCCGGC